ATAAAAAAAGTTACTAGACCTTATAAACTAATAAGTATATATTAGAAGTTACTATACCCTTTACTAATCTATAAATAGTTAAAAAGCTACCTATATAAGAAATAATTTAAAGATATTAAAAAAGTACATCTATATAGATATAAAATATTAAAATCTTAGGTAATAGTACTATAAGCAGTAGCTAAAGGGTATTAAATCCTTAGCTATTACTAAGTATATACTTATAAGCTTAATAAATATAGTTAATTAACTAAATTTAAAGTAAGACTTATTGTCTATAGTAACTAATAAGTAAAGGATCTATAAAATATTTATATAGCTATATTAGTAAGTATATTATTTAAAATATTTATAGTAATAGCTACTTACTTTAATTTAGAATTACTTTAATATCATATAGTTAATATATTTATTTATGCTATTATTAATAAGGTAGTATTTATAGAGATATCTCTAGGCTACTAAATTACTAGCTAGATTCTTTAGCTATTAAAGGCGCTTTATAGGCTTTAATAATTGCTTTTGCTATAGTAAAAGTACCTTAAAGAGGGGCTTACTACGCAGGGCTTTTGATAAGTACTTAATAAGAATTACCTAGTAAATATATAGCCTTATTATAACAGGTTAACTAATATTAAAAAAAAGTAGAGATAATCCTTTATATAGTAGTAATAACTTAGCTAGATATTACTTTTATAGCTAGCTAGCTTACCTACTTTAACTATAATCTAAATCTAGATTACTAAAAAGTAGTAAATTATATACTTAAATATTTTTACTAAATATAGCACTTTTACCTTAAATATAAAGTAACACTAAGTAGTAAAAATAATATATTAAAGGTTACTTTAGACGCCTTATTTACTAATAACTTACTAAACTATTATAGCTTATAAGCGTACGTACTAAAGCTATTTAGAGGGCTTATCTCCTAGTAAGCTAATAAATAAGATATAGTAATAATATTAACTACTAAGGCTAAATTACTAGCCTTATTATTTACTATAAAAAAGGCGCTTTTTACTAGTAGATTAATTACTATACTAAGTATTTAACTATTAACTTAACCTAAAAATAAATTATTACTTAATAAGTAAGTAGCTATTAAATTACTACTAACTATTTATATTAGTTATAATAATACCTAAACTATTAGGCTTATTACTAAGGAGCTTATTTAATTATAAATAAGGCTATAGTATATAAATATTTATAACTACTAGCTATAACAAGAAGTAGTAGTAAATTAAATTACTATTAAATATAAGAAGTCTACTAAATTAATAGCTAATAGATTAATAAAGGCACTTAGTACGCTATAATTTACTATATTTATAGCTTAATTAAATATAAGTAACTAATATATATACCTTAAAGTAAATTAATAGTAAGAATTAGCTAATAATAAAGTAAAGCTTTACTACTAGATAAAAGAGGAAAACGTATAAGATATTAAAGGATAATTAATAAATAAATAGGCTATATATAGATAATATTTAGTATAAGCTCTATAGTAATTAATTACGCTACTAGTACTAAGGGGGTGTATTAAATATAGTAGAATTATATATAAATTAGCTAGTAAATATATAGTTACCTTATAGTAAATTATTAAGGAATAGGTAGTAAATTAGCCCTGCTTTAGTAGTATCCTTAGGCCTTTTTAAGTACTATCTTACTTATTTCTAACTAAGAAATAGGGGTTTTTCCTTATTTCTATAGTAATTTACTATAGATATAGAACATATAATAGAATTAATTAAGTAACTATTATAATCCCTACTATTTAATAGGTTCTTATTTTATAGCCTCTTAGGCTATTTATAGTCTTATATAAAGTGTCTTATTTTTTTATAGTTATAGCACTTAACTATACTAGTATCTTATACTAGTTACTAATCTTATTTCCTAGTAATACTAATATCTATAGGTCCTATATATTATCTATAAGTAGTACTTAGGTAACTGTTATATAACTACTACTAGTAGTTTTATCTTTTATTTTACTAGTATAATTACTTAGGTCCTTAGGCGTACTTTTTACCTATATTAGCACTAGGTTATTAAGTTTCTCCTTATTTTTTATATTACTTAAAAAGTTATATATTAATTTTAATAGTAAGTTTAATATAGAATAAGAAGTCCTTAAGTAAGTTAATAATTTTAATAAGTTGATTCTTAGTATTATCTATAAGTCCTTAGTAAAAAGTAAAAATTAGTAATTCTTAAGTAATATTAAGTTAAGTAGCTAGTTATTAGAATTTAGCTATATAGTAAGAGGCTAACTTTATTTATTATAGGCTAGTTAGGTCTTACTTAGCTTATTACTTCTTATTAAGATCTTAAAATAATAACTATAAGGCCTTTATAAAGCTAGTTATACTTCTAAAGATATTTTATATCTTATAAAAGTATATAATAAGGGTTACTATTATACCTAAGAAAGGTAAGGTTTATACTAAAAAAGTGCTTTTCTTTATAAAAAAGTTCTTATATAAATAGCCTATTTAGTCTTACTTCTAAAGTTAGTAGTATAAAAGGTCTAATAAGTATAAACTTAAATTAAAAAAGCTTCTTAGCTATTTACTAGTCTTATTATAAGTTCTAAGTAAGTTAAGTTTAAGCTTATTATATCTATTAACTAAAGTAGTAATAATATTTACTATACCTCTAAAGGTAGTTACTTCTTTATTTAATTTTTTAGCTTTAGCTATTTTATTTTTAAACTAAGTAATAGTATTATAGACTATATTTTATAGCTAGCTAACTTTAAGGGTTTTAGTATTTAGTTTTTTATTAATATTATTAATTATAGCTTATATTTAGGCTATATTATTATTATTACGTTTTATATACTACTAGATTTTATTATATATACCTTAAGTAAAGTCTAGCTTATTATCTAACTTTTTATTATTTTTTATTTCCTTATTTAGGCTTTTAGCTAAGGTAGTTCGGTTCTTTTTAGAGCTAGAGGAAGTTAAGGTTATCTTAGGTGTAAATATTATAAAATACTATTAGGTAAGTATTAAGGTTAACTTACTTAATAAAAGTAATTAAAGTGTTATAACTAGTTTCTAGATAGTAAGGTTTCTACTAATAGTAAGTAAAAGTTAGTACTTAGTTAATAGTATTTATTTTTTTTATTATCTTATTAATTACTTAGTAATTAGTTAAGGCTTAAGGTTAAAAGGCAGCTTATATAGCTTCTTATTAAGTAAATTACTAAGGTTAAATACTAAAAGGTATTTAGAGAATATATTATAAGTTAATTACTAAAAAGCTATTAAAGTCTATCCTTAAGTGTATTTAAGTTTATTTTATATATAAGTACTAACTATTCCTGAAATAGTTCCTTTAACTAATAGTTATAAGTAATTACTATCCTTATATAAGGTAAGCGCTTAGTAGATACTAGTAAGCGCTTACTTTTATAATTACTAGGAATTACTTTATTTTATAATTACTTCCTTATCTCTATATAACTTATACTATAGTTCTTTTATTCTAAGGAGTTATCTGTCTATTCCTTGTTTCTTATCTATATAAATACTGCTGCTGCCCTTTATCTGTTTGTTAGGTAGGGTAATATAGCCTATAACTTATTAGGTTATAATATATATAAGTTATAACTATTCCCTAAATAGTTCCTTTAACTAATAGTTATAAGGTAAAATAAGCACTTACTTAGGTATCTACTAAGCGCTTATCCTACTTATAAATAAGCGCTTATTCTTTATTTGTCTTACGCTTATAGTTATATAACTTATACTATAGTTCTTTTGTTTTAAGGAGTTATCTGTCTGTTCCTTGTTTTCTTGTCTGTATAAATGCCGCTGCTGCCTACTATCCGCCTGTTGGGTAAGGTAACATAGCCTGTAACTTATTAGGTTCTAATAGTTTATTAGTTTCTTTAGATATGTCTTAAGAATTAATAAGTTTATTACTATTACCTTTAGGTTAATATACTTCTAGAGATTATAATACTTTACTTTTACTTAAATAGTACTAAGCTATATAAACTTATCACTATATAATTATAAAGTAGTTACCTAATTATTATTATTCTTATTAATTATTATAATAGAATTAGTTAATAAATAAGTATATTAGTTATTATAAATATATATATTAGACTATTAATTATTAAATTATAAGGATTATAATAGTTTGTTAATTAATTTTATTATATATTATATAAACTTTATAAAATCCTATAAGAATAAGAAAAACCCCTTATTTCTTAGTTAGGAACTCCTAGGCTCATCCTAGTAATATTATTAGTAAAGTTATCCCTAAAAGTAAGGCTAATTCACTGCCTATTCCCTAACAATTTGCTATAAGGCAACTATGTATTTACTAGCTAATTTACGTGTAATTTTACTACATTTAACAGTTTAAACCCCCAGGACCTACTTTTTCATCTACATCTAGAAGGCTCTAGACAGGCTTTAAGACTCACATACAAACTGCCACCTCCTAGTCATAGGCAGGACTTCTGACGATATGACTTGCGCATCCGTAGCAAAACAATATTACATCTAAGCTGCACTACCTCCCTTAAGGCGTCGCAGATTTATCCATTAGAACCATGTCTCCTACCCCAGATCGTCACATAGTAGGTATAGCGGGCTTGTACCCATCCCTCCACACACAAGCAATGTTAGCACAGACAAATAGAAACATATAATGCAGTCTAAATAGATGCTAAATAAGGTGTATTCGCTATCATACAACCATAATCATTCGTAAAGTTCGTAAAGTTCAACCGTAATAAACAATCAAGACAAGGCTTTCTCTAATTCAAGGTGATAAGATAAGGGCCCCAGATGTCTATGTGAACCAACATAGTGACTAAGGGTCACCAAGCAAACCCCTTAATTCGCGTTCGTGCAGAGGGAGTCAGAGCCTGTTGCGCCCGCCGCGGTGCACCTCTCCCGGAAGTCGCAGTTGTCAAGGGTGAGGTCATCCTTGCCGACGAACCCCGACTGGCAGGTTGCGGTGTTAGAGCTGTCCGTCGTAATGGTGTAGGCCGTGCTGTCAGAACCGTCGAGATCGGCTGCGGTACGTTTCGAGGCGCAAGCGGCCGTTGTGATGTCGTTGTTTATGGAGCCGTCGGCCATTGTGCAGCGGCAGTTGTCGAAGAGCGAGCAAGCCTCGGCGACCTTGACACCGGCGATGAGGGCGAGGGTGAGGGCGTTGACGATTGAGACCTTCATTATGGAAAAAGGACAGTGTTTTTTTCTTGAAAGTGTTTCAAAGACTAAGTTGTTCAAAATCGAGTGTGATCGAGTTTCAGATAGGCTTCAGAAAGTCTTGTCTGATGGATTAAGAAAACTGTAACTGACGATGGGTTTAGCTAGGCTTTATACATCTTCTACTCTTTAGCTGTTATTGGACTGGGTTCTATAATGAACCATTTTCCAAACGCGACGTTGGAAAGGAATAGACTTTTCTGGCCCTTAATTGTAACATGACGCATAATAAATTGTCGTTGCTAAGTAGTTAGTGTGTATGATCGTCAATCGATGCTCCGTCGGCCACTCCGATCGATCACCTTGGAATATATATGCCACTGCTACGCAGGGGGGGGTACTGTCATTAAGTACAAGTACGCGCATGAGTCGTGCCAGTGTCAGGGGCATCCCCCAGCCCAGTTCATCCCGTCAGTAACGGTTTGTAGAAGTCCCGGCTTTCAGGCACAGCCGAGCCAGCGCAGTTAGTTAGCTAAAGGAACCTTGCTCTCTAGCAGTGCGTTAATGCTCTAAATAAAAGCCCCTCATAATGTTATGTCACAAGGTGATATAGGCCATAATTACAGTACAGCAATTGTGGGCCCACTTTTTTGTTCTAGTGCCTTATTCTTATTTATTATAGTTATAAGCCTAGCACTACTTAACCCTAACTTTATGCCTAAATAGTTTAAGCATACTCTAAGGTATTACAAGATAATGTTGCCTTATAGGTTTAATTCCTACTAAGTCCTCTAGACAGACTATATGTATATATAGGGGAGATTTACTTACTAGATTTTAGTAAGATAAACCTAATTAAAAGGATTAAGGAGTATTAGACTAGTAATAATATATAGTAGTAGATCTAAAGAGGTATATTATAAGGTAATACAGGCTGAAATTATAGTAGAGTAATTATAGATCTACTTTTATTTTCTAGTGTCTTATTTTCATTTATAATATATTAAGTATAATTATAAATATACTAATATGAGATAAGAAATCCTATTATTTTTATAGTTAATAGTTATTAAAGTATATTATATAGCTATAATACCTTTATATTAATTATTTATTATATATATATACCTAACTATTATAGTACTTTAGTATCTTTAACTATTTGCCTTTTTAAATAGGTAAATACTTAGAATATTGTTTTTCTTTTATCTAGGTAGGGAAATCTACCTTAGAAATAACTAGTGTATTTCTAGCTTTGTCCCTACTTACGTATAGCTGTACCTAACTAAGTGTATACATTAAGTAGGCTAACCTACTCTCCTTATTATATATAAGGGTATATATAGATAGCTTCTAGACTTTATAAAAGAAGACTAGGTATAGATATACTGTCTTTAGGGGGACTAAACTAGTACACCAAGGACAGCACTACCCCCTACAAAAGAAGAAGTTTAATATAGAAATAGTAGTAATATAAGCAGGCCTAAGAGTAGCACTATAGTATAGATATTACCTAATTAACATTTTAATAGCCCCCTTTAAGGGCATTTCTAGTACTAATCTTACCTAGTTAGTCTATACGCCTACCTATTATTGACTTATAGTTATATATGTCTACACTTTTAAGACTTATAGCGTAAAGCGTGAATTAAACGTATAGCACTTAACTTATATAAGGTATTAAATATAGTAGCCTAACTACTAAGGTATCTAGGCTTATAATCTCTAAGTAACCTAAAAAGCAGGCCTATTACTTAGTTATAATAGAATTAGCCTTAAGTATAAATGTTACCTAATTAATATTTTAATACTAAATAGTACTATTATAAAGTTATTATAAGATATATTTTCAGACTTTATTAATACTATAGTAGTATATATCAAGTAGGTTTAGGTATAATAGGTCCTAGAATAAATAGAAATTCTTAAAATAACCTAGTAGACTAGCTAGCTAAGAAAAATAGGACTATAAGCCTAACTAACTATTATAAGTAGGTTAAAGTAACTAACTTTAGTATAAAGTAAAAGCTTTAGTAATAGTACACCTATATTATTATCTTCTACTCTATACTATATAGTTATATTAGCTAGTACCTAATTAGTAAATTATAACACTATATCTTCTCTCTAAGAAACATATCCCTATGCCTAGTAACTAACTAGACATATTATAAGTATAAGCAAGGGAACTCTAGCAAGGGTATAAAGGACTAATCCTATATATACTACTTCTAGTTAGAACGCTAAGGACTCTAGAGAGGATCCTATTTAGCTAGTAGTACTAGGATTTAAACCTATACCCTCTACATAAGGTAGGTGTATTATTATGTTATAAGTAGGTTAAGGTAACTAACTGTAGTATAAAGCAAAAGCTTTAGTAATAATATACTTATATTATTATTTCTTATTTTATACTATATAGTTATATTAGCTAGTATTTAATTAGTAGATTATAATACTAACCTAGATATTAGACCCTTTATATACTACTATATTAGATAATAAATAATAAAATAGTAGTATTAGGCCTTTAGAGACTAGTAGTATATTAACTACCTAAAATAATATAAGCTAATATAACTAAAGGCTAGTTTATACCTAATAAAGAAGCTAATTAGTCTTTTAATAAAGCTACTATACTAGCTTATAGTAGTAAAATTAAGCTATAAGGATTATTAAAATAATTATAAAATGTTTTACTATAATAACTCTAAGGTTATATATAATTATAGTAAGTATAATACTTTAGTATACCCTTCTTAGTATAAAACAGTAAAGAAGGGGCTTTAGCCTCTTTTAATAAACAAGAAGATATAGTTTACTAAACTACTTTTAAAAAAGATAAAGTAGTTTATTTACTGCTTTAAAAAAGAATTCTTCTTAAAGATCTACCTAAAGACATAAGAATATATACTTATCTTATTAACTAATAATACTATAGTAAAGAAAAGGCCCTAAATATATAGAAGCTTAGCTTATCTAGAACACAGCAAACGCAAGAGCAAGAAAACAGCTTAGTGAAACAGAACTAGAAGTTATAACCTTAGTGGCTGCAGTTATAATGAGAGACGAAGAAGCCACTAAGGCTAACGCGTCGCGCAAAAGGCTTAAAGAGATGCTTTACGCCACAAGAAGGTTTGTTACAGTCTAATTTAATAAGGTAGAGTATCTAATAAAGGCTTATTACAAGACGTTCTACATGTACGTCATAAAGAACTACAACAAATCTCTCATGCAGGCTTGCCAGGATCTTAAATCTAAGATCGTAGCGTTTAATACCTACAGAGCAAAGAGTATTACAAAACCTAAGGTCTAGTAGGCCAAAGCCGCCCTATAGCAAGAGTAAGTTAGAATAAAATTCGTATTATAAAAATAGCTAGCTTTAGAATTTCCTTAAAACTAACATTACTAAGCAAGATCTATCTATCTCTTTTTATATTACTTCTATTATTACATCTACTAGGTAGGTACTTTTAGTAAGTTACTAATTCCTAAGAGGTATGTTAACATTTTGATTCCTAGGATCTTAAGTTTGCCTAGCTTATAGTTATTTTTGTGTGTGTAAATATAGGCAATAGCTACAAAATACATCTCTCTTTCTCTCATTACAATTAACACTAATTAGGCTGTCTTTCTATAGAAAGAAAAATTGTTAACCTTATGTAGCTTAAAGTAGGTGTTTGCTGACATCCTATTAACTCTTTATGTATACATAACCTGCTTTACTAACATCTATATACAGCCTCTTGTGTTAACAGCTTTACTTCAACTTTGCTAATTACGTCTAGATATAACGTTTTTTAATAAACTAGTAGCTTAACATAGCGATCTGCTACTTTTGCTAACTAACTGTCCTAAAGTTAAATAGAACTTAAGGCTATTATTACTTTAATGCCACTAAGTTTGTTACTGTAGCAAAAACAGGCTGCGTCATCTGCCAAAAGCTAGCCGCATTTGTTGGTGACTTTAATTGGACTGATGGCACTAAGCCATTGTATTGCTAGAGCATGTGGGGAAATGTGCAGATCAGGGAGACCAAGAGCTACGTCTCAATCACCTTCCGCCTAGTTGCTGGCAGATAGCAGCAACTTCTAGAAGTCTAGTTTAATATGTTCTCTAAAGATGCTAGGTACTTATTCTTCTCTTCTCTAGCCTAACACACTAACGTGCTTAACAGACTTAGGCCCTATTCCTAATAATAAGGTGGAGTCTTTTGGTCTGCGTACTGATTGTGAAGCATTGAAGGCGCAGATGAAGAGCTGGCTGGAGGGCTGTGTCGCAAGCCACCCCGAATGCAAAGCCCTGCCTTCTATCAGTGACTACATGCCCACGCGAGTCCTGGATATTGGCTCCTCAGGTAGCCCTTGGCCACCATCGCATATCCGTATCGTTTATACCAAAGACATCGTCTAAGATGAAAAGAAGCATTACATGACCATGAGCCACTGCTGGGGCAAGAACAAGTTCGTCGAACTTACAGCTGCAAACTTTACCAGGTTCATAACTGAGGGAGTCACATGGAAAGATGCTCCTTGGGCATCCCAAGATGACATCTATAGTAATAAGAACTTCCTAGAGGGCATTGAGATCACAAGGGAACTAGGAATACAGTACATCTGTATTGATTCCCTCTATATCTTTCAGCACGATGAGAAGGACTGGAATATAGAGGCGAAGCTTATGCACAAGGTGTACCGGAACTCCTACTGCAACCTGGGTGCTGTTGACTTGGAAGATTCCCACAGGGGACTATTTGGAGATCGTAACTGCGATGTGCTGCTTAGCAGATACGTTCCCAGGAGTATGTCTCGGAGATTTAGTGGACGTACCTAGCGAATTCTCTTCACTAATCTCTGGGATCAGCTCCTTAGTAGCCCCCTTTACACTTGCGGTTGGGTGTTTTAAGGTAGGTTTTCCTATAAGGCTTGCTGTTACTGATTTAACGACCGCTAGAACGCATGTTATCCCCACGCCTCCTCCAGTTTGGTCGGGGCCAGATATTCTGGGTCTGTGCCACCATCTCTGCCTGCAAAGCCCTCCCTGCTGGTTTACTGCTTCCCCTTGACACTAAAGCGGCTGTGGACAGGCACTAGCGTTAACGCCTATAGGAAGCCAAAACCTCTATCAAGGCTACAGAGAGCACCCTTGAGAGATTGTAGGAGAGGTCTGTTTACATCTATACTTCCTGCAAGCTTACTAAGCACTCTGATAAAGACTACGCTATATGGGGCATTGCGAAGATTATGCGTGATATGCTGCGTTAGGAGTATGTATATGGGCTGTGGTCGGCAGACCTTGAGGAGCAGCTTGCATGGCGGGTGAAGGGTTGCCCCTAAGAGGCGAAACCTAAGGACAAGAAGGATGGTGTAGAGAAAGGGTTTCCGCGTTGGTCCTGGACATACTTAGACGCGCCGATCTAGGTTATACTGAGATCCTAAAAGGAACTCTCCGGCTAGTAGACGACAAGGACCAATAGACAGTAGACATCGAGGGGTTTGAGGGCGCCGCAGTCGTTGAGGCGTTCCCAGACATTTAACCCCCCCGAGACAAGGCCCCTTGCGAGTTCCTTCTGCTTGCGGCATTAAGGGTCATTAAGGACGAATTAGGCCGCAAGATTGTAGACGATTACGACATTTAGGATGAGGATGTCGTAAGTGTAGACTATTTAGGAGTTAGAAATCTAGTAGAGTAGAAAGGTAATGACTAGCTTATAAGGGTTAGTACAGTAGAATTTTAGTAGGTATACTAGAATAACTAGCCCTATTTCCGGCTTGTCTACTCTAAGGATTTAGACACACTTAGTAGTAAAGAGCTTTAACCTAAGAATAGGGAGGGATTATAGCTTATTTAGTTTAAGTATAGGACAGTTAATTAGTCTCTATTTTGTTTAATAGTAAGCCCTAGGTATAGCTAGTACTACTCTTAGTACTTGATAACTGTCAAATGTGGCGAAAGTACACGTGAATTCACCGGCGAATGCACGGTTGCCTTATGGCGAATCGCCGGGGAATGGGCGGTGAAATCGCCCCACTTTCATGGTGATTTCACCAATAATATCGCCAGGATTGGCCCGGGATTTCCCAACCAAGAAATAGGGGGATTTCCCTATTTCTACAGGATTTCACTATAGTTATATATAACATAATTAATTAATAATTACAATCCCTATAATTTAATTATAACTTTAAGTATAAAGTAAAGTACTTACTTTTTGGTATCTTTTGTATTTTAGTACTTTAAAAATACTACTTAGCTACCTATTTTTAAAGAACATCCCTTATTTTAAACTACTATAATAAGGTCTAATCATTATTAAATTACTTTATCTTTTTAGGAGTCTTTTTATAATAAATAGTCTAATATACTAAAGATAATTTTAGTTAGGAATTATAAGCTATTAAAAATAAGTATAGCCTTGAGAAGGTAGTTCTTCAGTATAAAATCTTATAGACTACCTTTTAGTACTATATATATAGTATCTAGTAAAAGACTACTATATTTAAAGACCTCTAGAGGCTCTTAATAACTTTAGAGGCTAGCCTAGTTACTTAAATAACTACCTAAGTAGACTTAAGCCTACTACTAAGTTATTAATAAGTTAAAAAACTAGTCTAGTATATTATTAAGGCTATAGGAAATACTTAACCTTTAGATAAGTAATGATTAAGTAGATTTAAGTAAAAAGCTATATTTATTAAAGTCTAAAGAAGTTACTTTATTAATTTGAAGTATATTAATACGTTATTTACTAAAGTTATTAAAAAATAGTTTAAATATCTTAGTATACTTAATATTTTATTATTAAACTAGCTAATACATATTATATAAATAAGACTAGTATTCTTAAAAGTAAGAATAATAATAACCTAGTATAAAGTAAAGTAAGAATAAATTTACTAAATAAAAAGTAGCTTAAATTATAAGCCTAAGTATTTATTATTAAGTATACTCTTACTAAAAGTATTTTTATTTATTTCTTAGTTGTATATAAAAGTAAAATAGGCTGATAGTAGTTATTTTCTTTGAATTTTAGCTTAAATAAAAGATAAAAACTTATAGTAATAAAGAATGTATAAACTACTAATATTACTACAGTTAAATAAATAAAAAAGCTTTTTTCTTAAAACTAAGCTTTTTTAACTTTATAAAGCTAGACTACTTATTATAAGTAAGTATAAAAGCTTACTAATAATAGACTTCATATATTTATACTCTAATAATAATGTTATTATATTATTTTACTACTATATATATTTTATATCCTTTAACTACTTAACTAAGTAGTCTTTAGTCTAATAAAGTAGATTATTATAAAAAGCTTAAATACTTTATATAGTAAAATAATAACTACTATTAGTAAAAAAAGCTTTATTTTAAGTTACTAAAAGGCTTATTAGGCTAAGCTAACTACTAGTAATATTAAAAGTAGCTAGAAATATACTAAGTTATAGCTTATTACTATTTTAAAGTATCTACTAAGCTTTTATTTATTACTAAGATATTAGTACTAATAATACTACTTACTAAGATATAAGTATCAGTTAATAAAAAGCCTAAAGAGGCTGATAGTAGCTAAAATACTTAAGATTATAAAGAATAAGTATTTACTATTAAGTAGTTTATATTAAGAAAAACAGTAAGCTAAATAACTAGTTATAATTATTTAGGTAGATAAACCAAACTATTACTATATAATATTAGCTTTTTAAAAAGATTAAAAGAGGCTTCTAATAGAAGTCTTTTAACTTAGCTATTACTAAGTATAAAGTAAAGCTTCTTTAGGCTAAAGTTAATAGTACTGGTAGTAAGAAAAAAAAGGCTATAACTATAAATTTATATATAAGGTTTATTATAATTCAGGATGTATAGAAAGTATAAATTATAGCTAGTAATACTAAAAATAAGCTCAATAAATCTTATAAGCTAGAATTACCTAGTAAGGCTAAAAGCTATATTATTATAGTATTAAGAGGTTACTAATAGTTAATTAAATAAAGTAGTATTAGTTATAATAGCTTTGTTTTTAGGGTACTAAAATATAGGGGGTACTTAAAAGTAAGTGCTTTGCTTTATCTTCCAGTAAGTAGTCTATACCTAGAATAAGATTATAACTTTCTTAAATTAATATAGTAAAAGAGGTTATAAATATCAATAAAGACATAGCTATAATGTAGAGTAGGAAGCCTCTTTATTCTAGTCTTCCTGCTAGCTGATATAGAACTAATAGGAGGAGCGAGGCTGCTATAGTAGAGTGAAGTGACGCAGTGCACAGGTGAAGCGTAACAGCAAAGCAGTAAAGCAAGGTGAGCAACAACAAGGGGCTAAGCAATTAACATAGGACAAACAAGTGATAGCTAGATAGGTGTATTCATAGTAAACCCGCCCTCTTGTAGGAGGTCGCATGGTCATAGTCTATACACCTAGTGGGCACGTGAAGGAACACATGCTACTGCGTATATGATTAAAGCAATAGATTAGCAGCGGGCGCCTTGTGTTATATAATTTGGACCTGTTGGGCGTTTAAATAATGTCATCATCATCATCATCATCTTGCCATCTATGCACTTGTCCTGTGTCAAAGAATATGCCAGGGCAAGGCGGGACAAATTTGAGAAACCTTTGATAGTTATCCCTGTAGCTTTGCTGCCCGGCGTAACACACTATGTATATCACTATTGATATCCCTATTTATATCCCCACATATTCTTGACTCCTTGACAGTATTCAGTTGGAACACTACACCCATCGACATACAAATCTGCGTTTAAACTAAAACATTTGTCTGCTCCAGTAGAAGGCTGGATACAAACAGCACGGACTTGGGTGTCTGGGGTTCTTAAGATGCAGTCTTGTCGTAGGTTAACACTCGAAACATCGGTCGATAACCACCTCCAGAAACCGTCCCCGTCGTCGTTAAATGCAAAGGCTGTAATAGGGGATCCAGTCACTGTTGTTTCAGCACACGGTTGTGCAGGCTGGCCTGGGTCGTCCTGGGCGGAGACAGCAAGAGCTCCAATCGACAAGACTAAAGCAAAGCGCATCTAGATTACAAATCGAATTAGAGAACATAGTCCATCCAGAATGTATGTGTCGTTAGCTCTGGGTGGGACATCTCGCAATCAGTTTACCTTTGTTTGGGTTTACGGAAACTGTAATTGATAGTTACAGTGCAAGGAAGGGCACGTTGTTGTGATATGTAAAGACGTTTCTCAGGTGTAACAGCTCAATGGAAATAGTCAAGTGAAGCCCTGTATAATAGTAGTAAGGGAAGTTCCGGCTATTGCACCTTGTTATATATCACCCAGTACGCTAATAATAGAATAATCGTAAAAACTTCGTTGATTGACTTTACTAAATATTTCTGTGAATAGCAGCTTGGACCTTATAACAGGACGCCCTGACTCAAGACACGTGCTCTTCGTCACTTTGCCCGCATCCCTTCACTGTGTCCATCTGGCCTGCCAACTTCCTCATCTCGAGACGACCCATCTGCCACGAAGACTGCTGCTGTGGCTGAATCCAGTATCTGTTCTCTTACTTGACTGTTCCTGTCGTCATCCTATGTCTAGATCAGCATGCCTTCGATCTGACGAAGCCGCTTTGTTTCCATTTTTGTCTAAGAACACAGTATGTGTGACAAAAGGGAAGTGCTTGGGTATATTCCCGTTGGACCGGCGGGCCCGCGATGACCCACTTCTTGACATAGGGTGCTCCTAATAACCCAGGCTCTGCCAAGAGTAAGTACGGATACCCCGACCGGAGACTCCGGTTTGACGCCCAGTACTATTGTGTACCCCGCCCTGCATACAAACTGGTATTCATGAATACCACTATCACCTATTTATCTCGCATCTAGAGACAAGCTTCTAGAAGTCTTGCAGTGGTTACTATCAAAGTCAGAGATTACTAAGGACATTAAAAGCAAGAATTACAACACTGCAGGATCCATAAATGAACAAGACAAGGACCGTGGAAACAGCAAGGAAAACAGTGGATAGGGAGATGAGAAAGGGTCAACTTAACTACCCCGCTTGGGAACTACCCCACATCCGAGCCAACATCACCACCGCCATTACCACCACTATCACTACTA